TGAGGTAGGCCCTCCAGCAGACAGGGGTGAGGTAGGACCTCCATCACAGCAGACAGGGGTGAGGTAGGCCCTCCAGCAGACAGGGGTGAGGTAGGCTCTCCATCACAGCAGGCAGGGGTGAGGTAGACCCTCCAGCAGACAGGCTGGGATTCTGTCAGGCCTGAATTGAGAAGACAGCTGCTTCTGGCTGGGAATCTTTGAGGGATAAAAGGCTTCATTGAAATACAGGTTTCAGGGAGACTTCCAGGATGCTCTGGGTAAAATCACTTTTAGGAAAGCCCGTTGATAGCAGTAAAATTCCTCATAGCTCTCAGGCGTAGGAGACTGATTCCTGAGGCTGGTGTTGGAGGATGTCACAGGGACTCAGGGTCACCCTGTTCTGTCAGCAGCTTTCCTGGGGATTAGAGATGCAGATGCTATAAAAACACACCTCTATCAGCAATGGCCGTGATGGTAACACAGTGGGAAACAAGACCGGGCCCTTTTGTGGGGTCAGAGAGTGGCCAAGATGCTGTGCACTTACCCTGGCCACAGGAGGTGGCTGTAGAAAGAGCTACAGAAGCATCTTGAACTGCAGCCGCCTCTTCCTTCTTTAACGGGATGTTGTAGGAGTCAAACACACTGAGACACACTCATTCCCATTGCACTTGAGGAGAGAAATAGCTTCTCTCTGCTGTTCCAAGACACTAAGCGAATTTGGAAGGCTAGGCAAGTAGATCCAGAGCTCAGGGGCATCATGCTGCCACTGAGCAGCCAAGGCAGGGCTCATGACCCTGAGGGCTTGTGTTTCTCACCAGGCAACAGAGAAGGCCAAGGCCAGGCAAGTTCTACCTTCACATGCCAGATGAACCCCAAGTAAGCAGCTTCCTGATCCAAATTCATCTTCTACAGGCAAGAAAGCACTTGAGAGAAGGTAACAGACCTGGACTCTGCCTGCTCAGGAATTTATCTCGGCTTCCTCTCTTCGCTCCCTCTACAAGCTGGTCTGGAGAACTTTTAAATTTCCTTTGTAATTGAGCAGTTCCCTTCCAAAGATTCTCATTTCTCCCCACATGGCAGGTGAGGCTTGCCCTGAGCACAGGAGTAGGCTCGGGGTGAGTGATAGAGGTAAGCTAAGGTGGGCAAGACACAGGGGCCAGGTCTCAGGCACATGTGGTGGTGGGGTGGGGGGTCCCTGCCTTGCAGCTGGTAGAGGGATGATGGGGTGGGGGTGGGGGGCCAGAGGGGGCAGAAGGCTTAGCTTATCAGCTCAAGCTGGCAGTCAGTCAATTTCAGACTGAACTGGTCCCTATCAAGACGATGACGTTAAAGACAGTATGATTAACACTAGTCATCTTGAGGGGAGTAACAGTATTAATACGGATCCACCCAAATCCTCCTGGCCACCTAGGCAGACTACTCAAGCCCAGCTCTGCATCCATTTCTGCAGCTGCTGGGTCCTGGAGCATTCGCGGGATAGATGCAGGACCCTGAGGTCAGGATCCAGGATGTGTGTGTTGGCAGTAAAGGAATAAGAGCAGGGGAGTCCAAAGGAGTGAAGAGCCCCAGTCGTGGGTCCTGACAGCCCGGGTGCCTCAGACTGGCAGAGAGGCTGGGCGGGGACCTGGCCCGGGGCGGAGACGTGGCTGGGGACCGCGATGTAGCAGGGGACTAGCCCGCCAAAGCTTGGGTTAGGGGCGGCAGGAGGCGGGGTGACTCTGGGCCCCGCCCCGGAGAGTCGTTGCAAAAGTTTGCCTTCGGATCCTCTGGGGCAGAGTCTGGGTGAGCGAATTCAGAGGAAGGCGACAAGGTCCGGGTGCTGAGCGAGGTGACTGGACGACCGGGGGAAACCTGAGGCCACGAGCGACCTCCGGAGCCCCTAGACTGGAGTCTTAGCTAAGACACCCCAGGATGCAGCCAGCCCAGATGCGCTTTGCTGACTGAGGTGAGCGGGGATCCGGCTGGAGTGGTTCCGGGTCCGCTCGGACCACTTTTCGGATAAAATTCTAACCAAGTCGGAGCACCATGACCTAG